AGACTTTCAAGTGTAATTTACATGTTATATTTCGTTTTCCATTTTTATGGTTTCTGTCATTTCCCCTTTTGTACATTGACATTTTTTATGTTTGTTTTTTTTAATCATTGGCAGCTGCAGGGCAGATTATTTTTAAAACATCAGCTCTTTTTAGTTATGCATAAGTGAAGAAATCCTGTTATGTGGCATCATTTTCTGTACATTAGTCTAAATGCGCGTCCTCTGTAAAGATGACTGGGCTCTGAAGATAAAGGGCATTGAAACACAGCAAGCCTCATTATGACAGATTTATTCACTGTATTGTACATTTTATTTTATACACACATGCTAAATTGACAATAAAGGCTATTCTATTCTAAATTAATAGTTGAGGACTGCCATGACATTTATGCATCTATAGTGTGCACTAAATTTGTGGGTGGAAGTTGTATATTATTTTAGAGTGTGTGATGGAAAGAGCTGGGGGAGGAGGGAGTCTATAGCGGCAGCTGTGGAGGAGATAATCCTCTGCCTGTGTCTCAAATAGAAACTCATACAACTATTGTGGTTCAATCGGATTACAAAGGGAAAAAAAAATCTTCAGAGAAGGGGAGGGAATGTGTATCATCCACAGAAATGCAATGGCACAATACTTGCTCAGCTTGGACAGGAAAAAAGCACAGTCAGACAGAATGCTGTGGTTGTCTCCTCTATGGTTTCAAAAAAAACTGCCAACCTTGCAAATATTTTATTTCTGCTTTTCCTCATGGACTGCCATTCTTTCAGTTTTGAAAGCCAACCCAGAAGCATTCAAATGGAAACCACTAATAAATAGTTTTTTGACCATGTTAGTTCCCTCTTTAAACATTCACCATGGTAACTTTGTGGCTGGAGGTCCTATAATTTTAACAAAGTAGAGCACATCTTCAGGGTACGTGAGATGATTTTACTTCCTTGCTTAAAAAGTTTAAAAGCTTCTCAGACTGTTTTTCTATGACTCGGGGACATGCTGCTTGAACACTGGAGATAATTTTAATTGTTTTTAAGATTTGAATGCATTTTTAACTGTTACCTGTTAACTATTTTCTCACAGGTATAAGAAAAAACTAAAGCATACAGTATAATGCAGCAACCTCAGTGCTCTGTTATTAACTTTAGTCATGGACTAAGTTTGAGTTCAGGAGGCCTAATGGCATGTTGTGGCATCTAGCAGACAGTCAGTCTCTACAGTGATAGAAAAGAGACATGATTCACAAGTGACAAACTTTAATTCCGGTAAATATATTTGTAACCTACTCTACACTTTACTGTATTTGATTGTGAAGGGGCTCCATTTTTTCTAATGTCTGAATCTAATGTGATCTTGTCACCTAGCTGAAAATGAAATGTAAAATGCCATTTCAAGTTTCATTTTCAGTTGCACATTCAGTCTTCTTTGCGCATATGAATCTACATGCAACAATTAATCGAGCTGAGAACGTTTTTTTTCCTTGAGGGGGGTCAGAGTGGAGGGTGACTTGAACAGCACGACTGATGCTGCTTTGGGTTGAAGGGTGCTTCAGCAGAGTGCCTGCTTGCCAACAAGTGGGCTTGAGCCTGGGTCATGAAGATGAATCATTGCCTTTCTTACTTGTTGGCAACTCTTCATCCTACACTAGAGTACAAGAGCACATTTTGTACTCCTACAGTATTTGTTGCTTTAATGTTTGTTTTTAGTAGATGGGAAGAAGACAACTAAGATTTCTTGCCACCTCTACCTCATACGCAGCACTGCTGAAACCACAGGGTGCACACTGTATGCTGATTTCTTGGATGAGTTCTACTTCATCATACATAGATCAGGCAAATCAGTCACTCGCGCCATCACATGTTGCTCATGATTGTGCGCCCAGGGTGCTGTTTCTGTCTCAAAATGATCCACCCTGTGAGTCAACAATTTATGCGACCATGTACAGTATATGGAGTGTGTGTATTACAAAACTGACTTGGCGTTCCCAATATCTCAAAGATATCATGGGTAATAATCAGTCTTTGCTTTTGACTTTTTCATTAAATCTTCTCTTACTGACGGTGTTTCAGTTGAGCATGGCCTGGCTGTTAGTGATACAGTTAATGGTTTGATTTCTGCATATTAGTCTGCTAGTGTTGCTCTACAAATTTCTGTCAGTTGATCCAATAGTCTGGGCCATGCAGTAACTTGTGATCAATTATTTAGGAAGCATGAATGTGTGCTCCCCAGATCTGCTCTGTTGATTTGACCCCCACCCTCACTTCTTTTCATTGCTATCATAAAGTTTTGTGATTCAGGAAAAACTTTCCCTACCATAAAATGTACTGGGATATTGTTCTCGGATTTAGTCTTACATTTATGATCTGAATTTTTCTGTAGACCTAGGATGACCTGGAAAAACTTGTATTAGGCTGTATGAGATTTTATAGCTTCTAACACCAGATTAAACACCTTTTTGTCTTGTCTTGTTATGCTCCACTTGCAGTAACTATTCAGCTTTGTGTTTGCAGAGAACTGAATGATGCCACACAGTATTAGTCTGGGTAGTCTGTCTTTCTAAAGGCTTGTTCTTAAAAGGCCAGTTTTGTGTGCTTGCATCCATCCCAGAGGCTAAGGCCCTTTGACTTGTAGCTCTGACAGTGCTACATTCACTAGGGAAAACACAGTCACTCTTTCTTGTACTTCATTGTACTACAGTTTTCCCTGTATCCACTGTTGCACATGCGAATATGGACACATCTACCTTCCCACACTTCATTGCATTTTCTTTTTTCCCCTCACTCTCTAAAGCCGCTCCCTCATTGAGTAATGCTGGTCTTGTGCAGGGTTAGCAGCTGGGGAGTTGAGGGACAGCTGGCATTCTGCAGGCAAATAGACCCACATCACTCACTGGGCCAACAAGACAGCTGTCTGGGGATGGGCAAAGGGTAAATTGTGAATTTAAGTGGAGGGGAGGGGGCCAGCAAAGTGGGAAAATGTGACTATAATAGAGGGGCACGTTGATGTGTGATGCTGCATTAGGGATGGGGTGCATACTCTAGCTAAAAATATTTTCTCCAAATTATGCAAAGAAAGTCTGATCCAAGATGGTGGGGGGATTTTAGCAGACGTTACTCGCTCAGAACTGAACAGTCCTTCAACTCAGATTTCTGACTGGATGACAGAGTGGAGCTTAATGCCAGTACTGCTTTACTTAAAAGCTTCTTAAAGAATCAAACAAATGACAGCTTGGTTGTGTAACATGTGTGTCACATATTTATTTCATTTCAGGCTTTATACACTGCTGGTGCTGGGCATAAGTCATTCTTGGATAGGATTTGAATCCTTTTTGTGTTGTCATTCACATAAAAGCTATGTGACTGTAAGCTAGAGCTTAGTTTCCTTCAAACCTACATGTCAAGATGCTGCTTGAAAGCATAAACATGGTACCAATGTTATGTAATGCATAATTAACTTTAAGGAGGGATGTAGTGTAATTCTTCAACTTATATATTTGAAGCTAAATTATCAGCGAAGGCTTTTCCACAAGGATATGGAGACCCAACTATTGGGCATCTGATGCTCAGTATTTTATGCTATTCACAGATCTCTATAATTGTCGGTTTCAGTCAAGTGGTGAGTGGTAAAGAAGGTTTGGTAGGGGAGCATCAAAATTCTTAGCTTTAAAATACGTTTTCCTCTTTGTGTCAGGGAAACAAAGAATCCCTTTTCAAATTTCTCTTCATCCCACAGTTGACCATTTAGCGAGGGCAGAATTATGCAACATGCCAGATATCTGCCACTGATATCTCAGAATGCCATCTTATCTGCTGATATGCCGATCTCAGTCAACATGCTATTATTGGCCAGTACTAATATTTGGCTGCAACACTGAAATTTAAAGTTCTTGAGCATTCCTTATTTACATCTCCCTTCTCTGAGAGTAATTTTTGTTCCTGCCTGCTGTTGTTTAGAATGGCACAGATGTGAGTGCGATAATCTCAGAGTAACACGTTGTGCTGCTGAGAATGGAGTACAAACACAGTTAGGCAACGTAACACAGGGGATCGTTCAGTAGCATTCTATAGCGTGCTCCTCACACACACATCATGGAGACAGATTCTGCCCACAGAAATCAGGGTTACAAACCGAAAAAACTTGTGTTAAAAGCCACACTATCGTTGCGCAATTGTCAACATGCTGTCACAGGTATTTTCTGAAATAGCTTCTGAAAATTAGGATGTTCTCTGTCTTTGCAGTTAGATTTGTCATCAGTTATGTTCCTAATATTTGTGAAACACCTACAACCCCTCCTCCCTACTCGGCAGGAAACGGTTTCTCATCTGAGCACATTTAAAGCATGTCAGGGCGAGCATGATGCAGTCATTATCTACCATTATACTCCCATCGCACTGAATCGGAGACAAGAAATATATGAAACTTCTGGTAGGCTCTGTAATTGACTAATAATAATAATAATAATGGATCAAGTGACGTGACATTCATTTAGATTAAGATTTGGGGTTAACATTGGGAAATGCCCAAATACAATTTTTTTTGGGTTTTTTTTTCCCCCTCTGCTCTTGCATGACCTCCCTCACACGCATTCATTTAGAGGCACATTAAATTGTGACACACATGGTTGAACCACAAGCCCAGCACACCTGCACTGTGGTTCTGTCTTGTCAGACTTGAATGGCCTCACAGCTGTTTTGTGTCTCTCTGATATTACTGGCTTGTTAGTTTCTATAGCTTTAAAGTTTAGGACACATTCATTGTTCTTTTGCCAGCTTAAATCTATGGTTGAAGCTACATTTGTTTTAAGCTGCAGGCTGCTTTTGCCTCAGTGTTTTTTGTACTTTGCTAATATTTACCAAAAGCTTCTCTAGTATGCAGTACAATCACCACCTTGACATAACAGGAAATTAAACCAGTTGCCGTAAGGCTCAATTTATAAGTTTGCTTTTCATTTGTTGACATTTTAACCTGAATGACCTCTCTGTTTTGGGGTTTTTTTCTTTTCCAACACCAGGTATTAAATGAAGAGTGTGATCAAAACTGGTACAAGGCAGAGCAGGATGGAAGAGAAGGCTTCATCCCCAAGAATTACATACAGATGAAACCCCATCCGTAAGTATTGTCACTTATGCATCTGCACTCTTTCATAGCAAATCATTAAATTGGACATATTAACTGATTTTTGAAGCGTGAACAGGGGAGCTTTTGTTCAGTGATATGCAACCTGAGCAGACTTGACCGAGTGTGAGGGTAAGAGAGAGCCCTTGAGATCACTCCTGGCTTGATCCTCAAGAGGACAATTACCTCTGGACCTGTGCTTAGTGCCAAATTAGCTCTCTCTTTATTAACGTGCTCAAGGCCTCTTACAGTTAATTGAATATTGACCTACTGCAGCATTGCTATCAGATGTGCCTTTCAAAGGAGATCTTATTGATCAGCCTTTTCTTTAGTGTGTGTTTGCCTATCATTTGTACAGATTTAACAACAATACTAAAGTGTTTGCAGAATTTTATTATTGTTATGGGGAATCGATTTTCAGCTGGGCTTCATGCATCATCTGTAGTACTTCAGTCCGTCAACAATACTTATAATTGTATGATGGTTCTCAACAGTGTGGCCAAAAACTTTTTTTTTTTCCTGTTTAAAAACATGTTTCCTTATCTGCTTCATAATGAGCATGCTGTGAGCAGATATTGTGCAGGCCCTCTCAGACACAGTTAATCTGCTGCCATCTGAACCTAAAAACTGCTGAATTTGTTCCCCAGTTGCTTTCCTTAAATGTCAACATGACAAGCTTACTAAGTTGTACGTACTTCTCACTTTCAACTCAGCACAAGTCAGATGTTCACTGAGAAAGACAGCCAGGTTGTATATTTACTGTAATGTTTACAGATGGAACTATTCAATACTGTAGTGAAGTAGAAATGGTAGTGACAGCACTGATATTGAGTTTTCTTTGTTTTGAAAATAAAGAGCCAAAGCACCAGGCACTCGCACTCCCCAACAGAACTGCACACACAGCTGTGCTGTACAGCAGTTCGCAGAAGAGCATTTCTGTTTCTCTTACCAGTAGTAATGATGTTTTGTGGGTTATCCGTGCGGTTATGTAATAAGAACACAAATGGTTTCAATAATTCCCTCTCACAGAGGTGAACGTGTTTCTGATGCCAGTGCTTCTGTTTTCTTGGCTCCAGTAATTGCCTTGCTATTACTTTTATCAAATAGGGAAAGGGACTCTGCACAGGCGCACTGTCCTGCCAAGCCTGATACAAAGCAGATTAAGAGTTGGCCATTACATTATTGATCTTCACCGATGTGTAAAGGAGCCAAGATTTCGTCTTTGGGCTGGCTATACTTTTTAATTATTTACACAAGCAAAAAGCCTTCACTTGCTTTGTCTCCCATTTTTCTCTTCTGTGATATATTAAGCTGCTTTCACTCACAACAGAAGCACTGCAGCGCTGAACGTTTCTCAGCCTGTCCCACTGAGTCAACCTGGGCCCTAAACACACTTAACCCTGCAAGCTTGTTAGTACAGAATCTGTGTAGGGCTAGATAAGCTAATAGTCTAATAAATTTGCATAGAACACAGTAGCGGGCAGTAAGTGCTGTACCCAGCTTCTCTAACCAAACATTATTTTCACTAGTAAACAGATTTAACGATTGGTAAATGCTAAACAGATTTGCTATATTTTAGAAATGACTACTGGAAATAATTATCCCAGCATTGTCCTGTGTTCAAGTGTGTAAAAAGAAAAAAAGAGTGCACTTTAAGACCTAATAAACACATCTCAAAACCTCAGATTGAGTCACTCATTTCTAAGCCAATGTGAGAGTTGAGGTCAAGCTGTGTTTTCATTGCTCTTCATGTGTGGTTTTTAGAAAGATTACGAAAGTCCACGAGACCCTTTTATCATTAACAGAACCTATTTAATTTTAATTTGGAGATCACTTTCCTTTCTTGAAGATAGGACTGACAAGTGCTCGTAACATTCCCCTTACTTGTGTATTCGTAAAACACCGCTTTTGGCTTGGTAGATGCAAAAGTCAAGTGAGGTATTATTATTACTGTAAAAGGTTATCAGATAAGGTTTTAAAAGGGACCTACAATACAGATTTATAAATAACTTTCTATAAATAACGGTGTGTGTTAAACCTAAGCTTGCAGAAACATGTTTTTTTAGTCATTTCTTAAAAGGAAAGACTTGTGTAGCCAAATTCCACAGACTGGGTTCAAAGTGACTCAGTAGGATGTTGTTTATGGTAAAAACAAAGTAAAAGTTGCTTTTTTTGTTATTTGTTTGTTTTCTATGGATGTAGTCTCAGTCATATGTTGTTCCTTGTATAACTGGGCTTGAAGCCTGCCACCTTTGGGAGAGCTTGGTGTTTTGTATCATCGGTCATGTGACACTGAGTCCTCTCTGCTCTCCAGGTGGTTCTTTGGGAAGATTCCCCGTGCCAAAGCAGAGGAGATGCTAAACAAACAGAGGCACGATGGCGCTTTCCTCATCAGAGAGAGCGAGAGTGCACCGGGGGATTTCTCTCTGTCTGTGAAGTGAGTATCACATAGAAACGACTAGTGTCACACTTGGTTATCTATAAATACAGTTTACTATTATCATTATATCAGCACATGGTTTCCTGACATTTGATCAGGTTCCTAAGTTTCCATATTTGGCATGTTTGAGTCATCAACAAAGCCACTTCCCTATTCTGGTGAAGTCTCAGTGATGCCCTCCAGTGGCCCGTGTTTGCCATGTTGGACCGGAGCCTTCAGTGTTCTTAACTTTACAGCCGACACACACACACATTTCCTCTTGTCTGTTTTTGTTCATTCTGTCTATCTGGAAAGAACAGTAGGCGACATGTAAAGTTTGATGCCAAGATATGGATCTTAATTACTGTCTGAACTGTTCTGATTCCAGTTAGATGCTTTGGAACAAATGCCAATCTGTTACCAGCATGTTGATTCATTTGACTAATACTTACAAGGCTGTCAGACATCCCTATTTGATAAGTGGTGGTTTGTATGTGTAATTTGCACTGCCTTCAGGGCATCTAGGTACTTCTGTCAGAAGTTGTCGCTTACTGTCCCCTCTGTGACCTTCTCTAGGTTTGGAAATGATGTCCAGCACTTCAAGGTTCTTCGTGACGGAGCTGGGAAGTATTTCCTATGGGTGGTGAAGTTTAACTCCCTCAATGACTTGGTGGAATACCACCGCTTGAACTCAGTCTCCCGCAATCAGCAGATCTTTCTTCGAGATATAGAGCAGGTCCCCCAGGTAAGACATGACACGCACATAGCGAAATGAGCTGTGGGTTGGAAGTCTTTTTCTTCTCTCCCCCCCCCCAAAAAAAAGACTGAAACCACAGTGGCACAAGGTGCAGAAAACGCTAAAAAAAAACACGCGGTGCAGTGTCTTTGACAGACTACTGTGCGTAGATTTTTCTAGACACAGACATGCGTTTAGCATCTTAGTATTCGGATTTAAAAGGACCGCACATGAGGGCAGAACCATTAAGACCAATATGTAGTTGTGCACTTTTCATTTTCACTTGCACATCATGCAGTGCACATGTGTGAGTGGAGGTAGTTGCTTTGATTTCTGACTGTTTAAAGGTATATGAGTAAAACTGAAATGTTATGTTGAAGCAGAATGGAAAACTGTCCCTCAAATTTGTATGTGCGTATTCTGAGGACATGTTTTTGCTTAGATCATTTGCATTAATATTTTGGAGATGAGTAATACAGATGCACGATTTGCCTGATCACACTGTGTTATGTTGTTCTTTCACTGGAGAATATGTACAAACACAGCTGTCAGTGTTGTGGCAGAAGGTTGATTAAAAATGTCCACAGGTGACCTGCTGTCCTGGATTCCAAATTGGTTATGAACAAGGTTTAGAAAAGAGCAGCTGATTATTTGAGAATTGCAGTTGCATTTTCAGCTAGAGGAGATGATACTCTTCTGAAGCTATTAAAGAACTCTTGGCTAATGTGTCAGTATAAAAACCATAGATGGCAGCCAGACGTCAGATGTAAATCTAGCAACTATTTCTGTAACACGTGATCTCTTCTCTGACAACCCTGCATGTTAACGTGCAGCTGTGTTTGGACGCTCGGATTGAATCTTGATGTCACCTTGAACTAGCAGTAGTGGTTTTGTAGTGGTGTTAGATGCGGTAAAGCTGCAGACTGAGGGACATGTTGCAGGGTTAGTTGCACAGAGGATGAAGAGGAAACATGAGTCAAACTTAAAAAGATGAGAAGAAGTTGCAGGTAAACCAGAGGAAGAAAGAGACTGACAGAGAGTCAAGTGTATCTGTGGGTGTCGGAGGCAGGTAGTGGGAGAGGACATAGTGAGGTAGCAAGTGTGTGTGAGCAAAAGCTGCAGAATGCAGAGGTTTCATAAAGATCACAAAGCAGAAAATGAAATGAAGGAAACTGCCGATTTTTGAAGCTTCACAGAATTGATTTAATTCGTTGTAGTCATGGCTATTGTCTGTTATTGTGGCGTTAGGGTGTAGGGTGCTCAGAACATGAATTTTGTCTCGTTTACAGTTGAGTCAGTGTGGATTCCAGTGTTTTTCTTTAGTTTCATTGCATCCCCGTTGCTGCAGTTTTGCTAACCATCATCTTTCGATCCCGCAGAATCCCACATATGTGCAGGCGCTCTTCGACTTTGACCCCCAGGAGGAAGGCGAGTTGGGTTTCCGACGCGGCGACTTCATTCAAGTCCTGGACAACTCTGATCCCAACTGGTGGAAAGGAGGCTGCCACGGCCAAACGGGCATGTTCCCTCGCAACTACGTCACGCCTGTCAGTCAGAACATGTAAACAGTCAGACCATGTAAACAACAACCACCACCACAACAGCAACCATCACCACCACCACCACCACCATCATCATCGTTTTTGATCTCATCTGAACCCCACCCTTCCCAAACCCAACCCCCTTCCCACCTCTCTCTCGGCCATCCCACGATAACGGGAGCAAAGAGAACGCAAACAACTGAAAGACAGAGAATAAAAATGACAGGAGCAACGCTGTCGTGGGCGACGCTGTGTGGGTGACAGCTGAGCAAAAAAATCAACTTTTATATGTGCTGAGAATGTTCACAGTGAACGCCTCAGCGAGGACCGAACTGTCTTTGAGGGAAATCTAGATGCAGCATACATTAGCGTCCTGCTTCAACCGTGAAGATAACCAAATGATTCAACCGCTCCCACAGCTGCTTCTGTCTCCTCCTTAACTTCCTAACAGTCTGCCTTTCTTTTGTTCTGCTTTCTTTGCCACTTTTTGTTTTAATCAACTGAACGAAGAGCCTACTGATGAATCCTAACTCTGTTTTAAAGAAAAGAAAATACATAAAAATATATTAAAAAAAAAAAAGAAGAAGAAACTGTTTTAGAAATGTACAAAAAGAAGAGGAAAAGATGATTGCATCAACAATACATAAAGTCTCCATGTTTAAGATCATTGGCAGAGAATTGTACATCAGCCTCAGGCTGCATAAATAAATCAATTATAGAGAGAAGTCATTTTTTTAAGAATATATATTATATATTTGTATGTGTTTGTCTGTTTTACCTCTCATCACAAATTGTTTTGGGGTTTTTTCCATTTGTAAATTATGTTCAATCTTCTGTCAGTCTGAATAAGACCTAGTAGCTCTAGAATGTGATGAATTGTCAATTTTGTTTCGTTTTTTTTTAACCTTTACATTATCTGAGGGCTCTCAGATAAAACCACATGACATTTAAAGGGTCACAAGTTCCATTTGAAAAATGTTTTTGTCTGTAACGCAGAGAAAGTAAAGTCGATTCTCTGAAGAAGTCCTGTCAGGAAGCTGATGTTGACCAGCATAGCAGAGCCATGAATGCTGCAAGAGCTGTCACACAGAGCCCTGTACATAAAGGTCAGCAACCTTTCCGAAAGCCAATATATTTATTGCAGCCATTTTTCTTTTTTACCAGGGCAGTGAATGTAGCTGACCGAGTCTATAGACACAAACATGAGGGAAGCTAGGTCGGAGAACTGAATTTCACAACCACGCAAGGGATTTTAAGACTTGTAGAGAGAGGGGAAAAAAACAGCAAAAATAAAAAGAAATTAGTGTTTATTTGTGAAGAGACTGGTGAATGAGGATATGTGGAGGCAGTTAACACATTCAAACACATTCATTTCATGCATGCATATGCAGACACTCTCCTCCTTGTAATACATGCACGTAGCGTAGAGGCTGAGTTCGGATAATCACGTTGTGTAATAATCACCAGTGTAGATCTGCAGCTGGCACAGATCAGCAGTTCAGAAACCTGAGATTGTCTTTTCTGCTTCAATTTGAGAGATCATCTGTAAACGATGTAAAAGATTTTGTTTTGGTCTTTTGTTTGTTTTCTTCGTTCAAAGTTGTGCTGCAGTAAGCACGGTGTTGTCATTTTAATTTCATGTCTGGTCCTGTGTGCGTGTGTGCGTGCATGTTTACCGTGTTTGTATAACTGGTTTCTGTTTTCTTGTTCTCTGGATAGTGCCTTTCTCTCTGGTGTTTCAGTGTCTCCGACCTGCTATTTTGAGCCCCCAACCCCCTCCTGCCCCACCCTCTCTTTTTGGGGCCTGCCAGTCCTGCAGCGAGACAGTGTACATAATCCAAGATGTCCCATTCAGCAACACCCTTCCTCCACCTTCCTCCCGCATCAACCCGCCTTCACCTTTCCCCTCACAAACATGGAACTCTTCTTATTTAAGTGTCTCTGCTTGTCTTACCTAATCATGTTGTTTTGGTTTTTGCCTTTTTTTTTTTTTCCTTTTTCAATTTGCATTTTTTTGTTTTTTGTTTTTGTTTTCAATTAATAAAATGCAATTATTAAAAAATGCAAAATTTTGTAGTGTGTTCTTCTGTATTTGAAATTCCACAGGAACACAAGTTGTTGTTGTTGTTGTTGTTGTTGTTGTTGTTGCCTCAGAAATTCACTCAAGTATAGAAGTCTGGACAAGAGCAATGACCACTTGTACAAAGCAGACTTACTATGCGTTTGCTTTTTTTCTGGCATACACAGTGGCTGCACTCAAATTAAATATGGCCCATAAAACTGAGGTTACCCTTTGAGTAGCCCCTGTGAGCCAAAAGCACAAAAGACAATCCCCACACAACTGTTCAAACCTGATTACGAGGGGCAGCAAATCATAAGACATAGCTTGTTTCAGATTGGATTAAAGTGATGCTCCAATCCCAGCAAAAAGTATAAATAAATAAACAGGGACAATTTTGAAGAGTAAACAATGAAATGCTGCTCTAATAGTCCAACAATGAAAATGAGTTGGCAACAAAACTTGTCGGTGCTAGCAAAAGCCCACAGTCATCCTGCTGCTTCACATCTTGCAGCGCCTCTGCGGCAGAAAAGCCTTGCATGCAAAGTTCCTCCATGTGCAGTCGTGTCAACTTGCATCAACAATAAAAATAGAAAATGGCAGCAGTGCCGCAGGAACGCAAGCATTTCCTGAATTGAGTGACACAGCCACATTTTTAATACACATTTCCCTGCTCTATCTTCATTTAAAGACATGACACGTCTACACAAATAGTTGGATGTGCTGCTACTGGATCACCACAAGTTTGTCAAGGAGTTTGATCAGAACCACAATCATCTTTATTTTGCAAAGTTTATGTGGTGCAGCAGCTTTGGTTACATAGAGAAGTAGCACTCTAAAAAAAAAAACACATGATGGTGATATCGATCTGCTCGTTTCAATAATTTATTAGAAAACTGAACTTTAGTTTTCTAAATTGTCGCAGGTTGAAACACCTACGTGTTGTTAGAGACTTAGTAGAATGTAGGTGGTAACAGCAGTAAGTGTATATCTGTATGTATCTGTATTTTCAACCTGCTGCTGAGTAACCCACATCACAGACTGACTTATAACAACAAAAATAGCATTTTGTTGTTTTGTTGTTTTCTTCTTGTTTTGTTTTTAAACTAAAGACTGCCTGTAAAAGATGCCCATGACTTCTATCTTTAAAAGATGCAGAAGTGACTCAAAGATGCATTTTTCTAACAAGGGGTTGACAAACCTATTTGTCACTTCATGTACGACCTTTAAACACAATCCTAAAATGCACCACAAAGCTGGATATGTTTTAGGGATTGGCTTCTCTGTGATTGACACTGTGCAAACACTCATTAGTCTTGACCTGTCAGCAGAGCAAACCCTCATGCGTCACGCTCGATTTCAAAACAAGCAACGGTGGCTACGCCCATCTTTTATATACAGTCTATACTTTTTTTTACCATAAAAGGCTATCTTTGTGGCACGAAGTAGCAAATACAGGACAAAGGCACATGGTGTTTTCCTTTGTTTGTGGTGTTTCAGGTGGCCCTGCAACAGGCTGGTGACCTGTCCAGGTTGTACCCTGCCTCTCACCCTGTGACAGCTGGGACAGGCTGCAATGCTGAACTGGATAAGCCGAAGAAGATGGATTGATGGTGTTTTATGTTCTTTAACTTTTCTTTAAAATGTTATTTTTGTGCTAAAAATAGCAAACATTTCAGACCTAAGACTGTATATAAACGACAGGTAAAAAAAAAATAACACTATTGCAGAAATGCCTTAAACTTGCATTCAGTCAGCCAGGCGCAACATGTCAAACTGTGGAGAAGTCGTGAAAATGACCCTCAGCTCCCTTGATCTACAGTACTGCGCAAAAGTCCAGAACCACCCCGTATTGTTTTATATTTTCCTCAGAAAATGGGAGATACATGCAGCGATTCATTGAAACATGCAAACATACATGGAAATACAAATACAGAAGAAGCCCAAGCCATGATATAGCCTCCAACGTGTTTTACAGATAGCTGTGGATGCTTGCTGTTGAATCTTTCTCCTGACCACCTGTAGGAGGAGTTCTGTGGTGTCTGCAATTCTAAAACACAACAGTGGTTTGCCTCCTGAATTTCTTGACCTTGTATGATTCACAGATTGGTGTTAAATGGCTTAACAAACATGTATTTTAATGCATAATTTTGTGTTTTATGATTACATAAAGAGTAAAATAGAAAATAAAGCAGTATACAATATGAGCATGCAGAATCCCTTGTCACTGCTGTTTCCCCCCACCACCACCACCACCACCACCACCAAAAAAAAAGGGAAACCACTGGGTGAATTCCATCTTTAATATACAGTCTTTGGACTGTATATAAATGTGCAACATAAGGTCAAATTTTATAATTTACAAATTCAAGTTTTCATCTGTAAGAGAGAAATGTGTTATGCTGACCAATATGACATGCTGTACTTTTAACTTTTAACCTTGCTTAATGTTTTAAATAGGGTTTTTTCCCCATCTACATTCAGGGCAAGTGGTTTCTCTGCATGTCACTGCAGTATGATAATGAGCTTGCAGACCTGAAACTTGCTATGAGAAACAGATCGCAGTGGCAGGCCCACTTTGATTTTCAGCAGATTGTGCTGTAACTCGTTACGACTCACTGAAAGCACAGATTGTTTTATCATCTGTGAACGGGTGTTAAGCATTTATTGGAACCTCAGAAGGAAAAAGCAAACAATGACTTTTTGAGAGTTGCATTCATCAGTACTGATGTGGAAAAGAAACCCGATGTCATACTTAATGAACAGATGTTATTTTTAGACTTTCCGTGCATGCTTGAACTGCAGATAATACAGACTGCAAGTTTGGTGCAGGATTCATGTAAACTATACAGGACAGTATGTTTGAAGTGTGTTGTTGTTGTTGTTGTTGTTTTTGTTTTGGTGGTGGAAGTGGCTTCAGCTTCACTCTGCCAGAATGTAAAGACTGGGAAGACCAATAAGTATTAGAGCATGTAAGAGTGTGAACTGTTGCCTATCTCTATGTTGGCCCTGAGATGCACCATTGATCTGTCCAGGGATTGGCACCAGCTTCTATGCCAGCTTATTACATTATTACTACTGAGGAGCATCAAATTTTAGGGGGTGGCCAGTGCCCCCTCTGGTCCCCCCTTGGTGCCGCCCCTGTTCTCCATCATTCCATCAGACCTGTTGATAATACTGTTGGGAATCCTTTGAGAGTCCAGAATCGTGGCAGTGAACCAGTCAGTGAGTTTCTAAGAACGGGTAAGTCAAGACATTAGGCCTCATTTCACTGTAAAGCTTTCCAAATATCTTTCTGTTTCCTAAGGCACTGATGACGCGGCCGTGTCAGTTGATCTTTAGAAGCAGTGAGGAGGAAGCTCACAATTTCATTTCTCTCAGAGAGAGAACCCCGGGGTGCTCTGCGTGCAGCTCCCTGCTGCAGCCCGGCGAGATCTTTAACAGCACGTTAGCCACGGTCTGCTGCTCTGTCTGCTCCACATTTCGACTTGTAGCACTCAAGAGTGCCACTTAAGCTCTTC